TACTGTGTATAAATGGTTCCGAGGTGTGCTCCTCGGCTGTCTCGACGCGGACATGAATTTCACGTTGTAATGCCATCGTACGAAATACATTTAAGCTGTTTTTTGACACCCAAAAGCTACCTGGTCAAGTAGTTTATACGGCATGCATGCTACCTTCTAATCGCTGGTTCATCCACAGTCTAACGAGGCGGCTGCTGTCGGGAGACGACGTCTCGTGTCACGACAGCGATGAGCCATTCGCACGGCAGCTCGTGTCGCTGCGGCGCCGGGGAGTTTGAGGCTGTAAGCAAATGGTGGATGTGAAGAACAGATGCTCCTGTTACACCGAGTTAGTTGCGATGCAGCTGATGCGCTTAGCCTAGTTTATTTCATGGAAACTTTTAAGCTGGATCTAGTCCAACATCCAGGGAAGCCTACTGCTGCTGTTGATGCGTGCGGCGTTTAGATCCAGCCCGCTCAGGTCTCCGATTGCAAGGAGCTCAATAAGGGGTTTCTTTTCTTTCCTCCTTAAGTTTCCATAAGCATCCGGCCTTAGGCTTAGCACTGACTGGAAGTTTGGAAGTTGCATTTTGCCTTGGAAGGATCGGTGCAGTGGAAAGTCAGAGCAGATCAGTGGCACGAGAGCTCGTCCTGCGGGCAAAGGGAGCCACCGGTGCCCGGCTCGGTGCTGGCTCAGCACTGCGGGCAAGTGGGCACAGGGAAGTAAGTATGAGAGCACAGCCACCCGTGCTGCGGGAGCTGCGCCCAAGGTGTAGCTCGGGCACGGTGTTGCCTTGGTTTGGAGCACCCCATCGCTTCCAGAGGGTGTTTGGGGGGAGGAGGAATGTGGGATTCGACCTTTTGTGTCAGAGTTACCCCGGGTGTTGCAAAGAGGGAAGATTTCTGTCAAGATCACGGCTAAGACAGACGTGTTCTCAGTGTGTGAGTTACATTCTGTTTGCCATTGTTCACAAATAAAACATTGGGGTTTTTCCCCCCCTCTTACAATAACTTTTTCTTGCGAGCGGCAGAAGAAAACCAAGTATTTAACGTGTTTGCATTTGTCCACGAGAGCTTTAAAGGAAAGCAGCACACCCCAGTAAGCTGTTTGAGCTGCAGCAATCCCAGGTTACATAAAGGGGCTGGGGATTAGCCGGGGGCATTACGGGTGGCGATAAGCCCTCCGCGTTCTGCTTGTTCTTCGCTCACTTTTATTTTAGCAGCAGTCCCTCTGAGCCGAGTTCTCAAGCTGCTTTGGGTTAATTTCGAAGGCTCGGGGTTAGCTTCCCCCCAGAGAATGAAGGAAGGAGAACTTGGGTTTAAAGAACACTTAAGAGCATCCAGTCCGCTGCTGTTTTCTTATCTTGGGGTCCCTGTCTGGGTGGGGAAGCAGACTGCAGTCCTTCAGTGCTGGATCCTGCCTTGCTCTATTGGTGGCTCAGTTTCTCCATCTCAAAAATAGACTTAACATTATTTTCAAAAGGCAGCTATTAAAAGCACTTCCAGTTTTTAAATGCCATCGAGGTCTGTCTCAGTGCTTAAGTGGCCCTTTTTTAGCAGTGCTTCTCAGGCTAAGTAGGGAGTGTGGAAAGAAATCTCTTCCTCTCCTAATTGTCAGGCAGAATAAAACCCCATCCCCTTCTACCTGTTCGTGTAACTCCGCATGTTTGTACTCCTTGCTTATCTTTGGATCATTCACTCATAGCTTCCAGAGCAGCCACCGAAGGATGACAGAGGAACTACGTGCTCATTTTTATGTCAAAAATAGCTTTCACCTTTAAGCGCACAAGGCTCAGGGACTGCTTCCTCATCAGAAAAAGAATGCCTGAGCTCCCATTGCGAATCCATTTTACAGCTGTGTTCACATTCGACTGTCAGCCCCTGCTGAAAACCGAGCGCTGAGGTCTTGACCTAGAAACAACCCTTTTTTGGTATTGCTTTGGAAAAGGTATTCCAGGGCTGGGAGAAGCCGAGCCAGGAGCTCAGGCCTCATCCCAGGCTCAGAGCCTCGGCAGCGGAGCGCTCCCTCGTGCCTTGTGTCTCCCTGAAGCCCAAGTAAAGACTGCTGGGAAAGGTGGGATTATGGTTTGCAAAATTAATAGGGTTTTTTTTGGGGGGGGTTGTTCTTCAGGTTTTTGGGGTTAAATTGAATTATTTTTGTTAAAGTCCTGGGGTTTTCTTTAAGGAAACCTGAACACTTTTTGACAGATACTTGTAAAGCATTTCAACGTGGGCATCTGGAATTACTGCTTGTGGCAGGGCCCAGACCTTGGCTTTCCTCACAGGGCATTTCCAGTGGCTACCTCCAAACCCGACCCAAGGAGTAAGAAAACAAGGGGTGTTTTGAGAGCGAGTGGAACCTTTTGTTTTCCAGGGAAGGCAGAGAGATTCCATTCACCTTTTGGCTTGTGCTCCCCAGCTGTCAAGACAAACCCATTTGTGTTCTGTGTTTTCTGTGCCAGGTTTGTTTTGCAGGGAATTACTGATTCCGTTGGAACTGCTTGAATTAAAGTCACTGTTGAAATTCCTTATAGTTGTGTATTTCTGTTCCCATTTCTTCTTTACTTCCTAGTGCCATTAGCACCTAAGGGCCATACCAAAGGACAGTAAAGAAACTTGACCAAATCACCCGTTCCCCCCACCCCCAATGAAGCCTGGATCAGGAAAAGAGATCATTGCAGTCAACAGATCTCGCTGTGACACGGCAGAGATGCTCATCTGCGTTAACTTTGGGATGAACGCACTGAAAGCCCAAGGTTTGCTTCTGATGTTCTCACTGTTATTGATGTCTTGTGTTCCTTGTCAAAGCCTTACAGATCGCCAGCCAGGCTCGGGATCGCTTCGCTGCCAGGCATGGATGACGCGGGGGTAAACCTCGGCATGGAGCCTGTCCTGCGGGAGCTTTGGACCATCCCAAGCGTGTGCTCGGGGCCGTCCTTCCGAGCTGGGTACCCGGAGCTGCGGTGTCCCGAAGGGGCTGGAGGTGGGGAGGGAAGCGGAGGCCCTGACCCGCTGCCGTGTGCGGTCCCCGCAGAACGGGAAGCGTTCGCCCTGTGTAAATCGGCTCCTGTGATTTGTAAGAGGAGCTCGTTCGCCGGCCTGGGCTGTGCTGCGGGATGGCTGCAAGCTGTCAGGCGCTGCAGACCGGAGGCGGCTGCTTTCTGTCTGTGGTCGAAGTGATGCTCTGTTAGAATCCGCCTCCCGTGTTCAGCCCTTGGGGCAGGAGTGCGGCACCCTCCGCATCGGGATGGGGGTCCAAGATCCAGGAGCCGGGAACAGAGCGGCTCCCCTCGGGGTGCCGGGGGTGCCTCACTTCCCAGGGGAAGGAAGCCTGGGAGCAGCACGGGGATTGATGGGACCCCCCCAGGGACCGAGCATCCCCGCGGGGGCTGAGGCCACCTTGCGGTCCCGGCCCCCCCGACACCGAAGCGTGCGGACATGGGGGTAAACCCCAGCCCGGGGGGGGTCACCGGGCCCCGCCCGCCCCCCTCCCGTCCCCGCTGCATTTCGGCCCGGCCGCCGCTAGGCCCCGCTCCCAGCGCCCCCCCCCCCGCCCCGGGCCTGCCCGGCCCCGGCCCCGGCCCCGCCGCGCCGCCCCCAGCTGCCGGGCACGGCCGCCCCCGCCCGCCCGCAGCCGCGCACGTCTCGTCCCGGCTCCCTTCCATGGTTCCCGGCGTGACCGGTGCCTGCCGCCGCCCACAGCCCCGCAGCGCGGCGCCCACCGCCGGTAAGGGGGGGCCGGGCCGGGGCTCTTTGTGCGCCGGGGCTGAGCCGGGCAGGGCTGGGGCGGGCGGGCGGGCGGCCTGTGCGGGCCGCGGCCCGGAGCTTCGCTGGGCTGGGCTGGGCTGGGCTGAGCCCGGGCCCCGGCGCTGAGCGCGGCCGAGCGCGGGGCTGCGAGCCCCGGCGGGGGGAGCGGGGGGTGCGGCCGGACCGGCCTCCAGCGGGGCCCGCGGCCCGGAGCGGCGCCTGTTGCGGCTGCAGCCCCGCGGCCTGGCCCCGGAGCAGCCGCTCGGCCCGGAGAGAGGCCCCGCTGGCCGCGGGCACCGGCGGGGTGGGAGCCGGGAGAGGGGGCTGCGGGTGCGCAGGGTGCGGGGTCCCGGTCCGTGCGTGGGGCCGGGGCCGGGATGGGGCCGCCGGCCGTGGGGCAGCCGCGGTGTGACCCGTGCGGGGCGCGGGGTGTGCAGGCAGGGCCGCGGGTCGGTGGTTTCCTGCTGCAGGACGGCGGCCGCTCCTCCGCCCTGTGCCGTGGTGATGCTGCCCGGTGAGCTCCGCAGCCCGGGCTGGGTTCGGTGTCAGCTCCGGGGCTCGGGGTTCGCTGTGGATCCCGTAAGGATGGAGCGCACTGTCCCAGCAGGCTGCTCCCGGCACCGCTGAAACTGACACGGGTTGCAGTGGAATTGACACCGATGGAGAAGGGTCGGAGAGCCGGTGGGAGCCCCTCAGGGCAGTGCCTGTGGGAGCCCCTGCTCAAGGCAGTGCTCCCCATGCAGTCTCCCCGGGTGGGATGCCAAGGCTCCTTTCTATGACTTTTTAAACAGTGGAGTCTCACCTCCTCCTCACACCTCCTCCTGCTGCTGCCTCTGACAGCAAACATGGGGGATGGATATCCGTGCGGGAATGGGTATCCATGTGGGAATGGGTATCTGTGCGGGAATGGGTATCCGTGCGGGAATGCCTCCATCCCGGGATGACCTGCGAGGGCTTTGCTGGGGGAAGCTGTGGCTCTCCGCGCCTCCTCATCCTCCTCCTCCTTCATCTCTACCGGCGCATTGCTGCATCTGCTCCGCCGTGATTTTCCTGCACGTGGGAAGTGTGGAAGTGCCTGAATGGAGCAGCGAGACCCCAGGGGAGCCCTGCCCCTGTGGGAAGGGAGAGCGCTGGTGCTGGTGCTGGGGTAGAGGCTGTTGGTGGTGCTCATGGCAGAGCAGAGCCAGCCCATCACCAGCTCGCTGGGCCTTTCTCATTGCTCTCTGTTACCATGCACGGGGCCTTGCCTTCCCTGCCGCGTTTGACCACTGCTGCAGTGAGGATGTGCCTGGTGCCAGCAGAGCCGTACGCACCGATCCACGGGTGTCTGCAGCCCATTCCTGGTGCTGGAACAGCTGATTGCCAAAAGCACTTCAAACACACATCAAAGGTGCTCATCCTCTTCCCAGCCCGAAGTGCCCAGGAAAGTTTTGGCTTTTTTATTGAAAACCAGCTTTTCTTTAAGACAAAATGGAACAAAACAGTGTCTGACCCATGCACCAGCGCCCAGCCTTGTCCCTGACCACATCCATTGCATGGCTGAGCCAGCTTTGCCCATGGCAATTCCCCTTCACCCCAGGCTGATGGGAGCAAGCAGGGCTTCCCAGCACGATAGCGAGTGCTTGGTTCGTATCTGCCTCCACAAGCACCCTCTGGGAGGGAGCAGATAACAGGGATGCTGCGTGCTGTGGGCTTGGGAGCTGCTGGCAGAGGAGCTGCAGGTCATTCGTGTCCAGTGGCTGTGCCATGAGGGTGAAATCCCAGGGTGGGACCCGCAGGGAGGAGGTTGCTGCCATAGCATCACAGGGTGCTTGTGGTCAGAGCCGGGAAGCTCTGGGGCAGCGTGAGTGAATGATGATGGTGATAATTGTAAGCTATAAAGACAGGAAAGGGCTTGAAGCACGGAGCTCTTAGTGATGGGTTCCTCTGCTGTGCCGTGGCCGGCGTGGCAGCATCTCCATCACCATGGCCAGGGTGTGTGTGGAGAGATGCCGGCTGGAGCCTCGCCTCTCATTGATGGCGCTGGGACCAGGGATTCCCCACAGGGAATGAGAAGAGGTGGAACATCTGGGTCCGGCTCTTGCACCACTTCCGATGGGCACGGAGTGGTTCCCACCTCCAGGTGACAGTGGTCCAGATCCATGAAGCAGCCCCATTGCATCCCCACCACTGCTCCAGCAGTGCCGCTGCACTGGGGTCCCCCCTCGTGTGCACCCTGATGCTGGGGAGGGGGGAACACAAAGGCTGCAGTGCCCCATCCGCCTGCCTTTGATGTGTGTGAGTGGCAGGGCCATTGTGGCCCCTTTGTGCGTCCCTCGGTTCTCGGGGTGCGCACCAAACCTGCCATGGAAACGGGAGGAAATGCAAATCCCAGCGCTTGGGAAGCTGTCCTTGTGCCACCGATGGGGAAGGTGTCATTGGGGCACCCAGAGCTGCTTTTGGGGTGCCCCAGGGTCTTGGCAGCGGGAGGAGCGGCGGTGACTCAGAGGTGACAATGTGACATTGATGGTTCTTTCCATCCTCGCCGTTGCCCGGTGACAAAGAAACAAACAAGTGCCTTAAACCCCCAGCTCGGAGCCCTGCAGGAACCGTCCCCTCCTGCCAGGGCTGTGCGTGTCAGGGCTCTGGCATGGCCCCAGCGCTGGTGCTGCTGCCTCCATGTGGGTTGTTTTGGGGTGATAGTGAGCAGGGGGAAGGCAGGCTGCCAGCTCGCTGCCACAGCACACCGTGATGGGAAGGGAGATAAAATCCACCCACGGAAAAGGGCAAACGCTTCAGGTCTTCATTGCCAGATGGCTTTTATCAGCGATGGATGCTCTGGCCCTTCCTTGGGTTCCCAGAGGAGTGTGTGTGGGGATAATGGGGCTGAAGGGGATGGAGCGGAAGGGAGGATGCTGATCAGGGCAATTCCCTGCCCCGGGAGGAAGCAGTAAAGTTTCCTTTCCTGTCTGCTGGAGGAGCCGTAGCCAGGAGCTGGGAATAAGAGGCTGGCATGTGGAGGGCATCATCCGCAGCAATAATCCATGTAGGGAAGGGCAGATCCTTTATCCACCAATCTGAGCCCAATCTAGGGCTATACTTAACACCGAGTGTTTGTTGATGGCTCAAGCTGCAGCCCTTGGATCACTTCCTACCAGGGGCTGAAGTGATGCGGGATGTGCATCCCTCTTGGCCGTGCTTTCTCCCAACCCAGCCTGCTTTTATCGCTGGGAAGTGATTCCTGACTCATGGAAGTGCTGTTTCTTCCTTGTGCCTGGCAGCTCATTGATCCCTGCCCTTGCTGGCTTCCCCAGGGAAGGCACACACAGCCTTGCACACAGAATTGTTGCTTATAGAATCCTCAGAGCTCCCTGGCAATGGCCACGGTCAGGCCAGTGCAGAACAGCTGGGAAAGGATGGAGATGGGGTTGTATGAGGGTTAGTTATTAACTGGTAATTATTAAACAAGAGCACAAAAGTGAGGTGGGAACAGAAATGAGGTGGGATGTTGAAGAAGAATGCGCCCCACTTGCTGTGTCCAGCGGGTGAAGGGGGAGTGAGCAGAGCTCTGGGTTTCCCTCCTGTTGAAGGCTGTGCTGGTGCGGGACCAGACTGCTGCTGAGCTTGAAAGGAGACCAAGAGCTTGTCCGAGCCCTGTCTGGCTCCACATCCAGGTTAGCATCCTGTATCATTACTGTGTGGAGTGTGCTGAGCCCTGATGGAGCAGAGGGAATGCAGCAAACTCGTGTTTCAGCTTTCGAGGGCTTGCTTCTCCCCTGGAAGCTGAGGATGGAGGAGCCTGTTCTTGTGGAGGGCCTGATGTATTGCTGTTAACTGTCCTTGGTGAGGTGTAGCGCCTCGAGCGGGTTCTCCTCTCCTGAGCAGCATCACCCGCTGGGAGGGAGGACAAAGGACCCATGCAATTACAGGGTGATGCTGTGTCCCGGGACAGCGAGGGGACGGCAGCGTCCCATCCTCAGCACGGCTCCTTGGCGTGTGGCTTGCGTCAGCCGTTGGCTTAGTGACTCAGAGGGAAAAGAGCTTCTCCATTCCCAGCTTAATGAATCCCTTTCTTCCGTGGTTCTTGGGCTCGGTTTGCAGCGATCCCGACTTGGAAGTGAGGTGCTGAGGCACCGTGGGATGCGCGGGGCTGCGGCTCCTGCCTTCGGGGTGGCAGCAGCATCCTGGATGCTGAGGGTGGGTGACTGTAAAGCGGGCATCAGGCAGGAGCCCTTTCGCCTTTCCACTGCCTTTATGCCCTGTGTCACTGCTGTGCCATGGAGCAAGCGGCTGGGGAGGAGGGAGAAGCAAGTGGTCCTGCTTGGGAGGGCAGGCTGGGAATGGACAGCTTCAGACCCCTGCAGCTCTTCCACACTCCTGCCTGCTCATCGCAGTCTCCCCATCGCTGCATCAACCTCATTTCCCCCCCGTGCTGCCCTCATCCTCTCTCCCTGGGGACACCAGGAGCTGCAGATGTGGTGATGGAGGTGCAGGACCTTCCCATGCTGAGTTTCACCATGCACATGGCATGGAACCCTCCTCCTCCTCTTCCTCCTTGGCTGTGGTTTAGTGCCCCGAGGGAGGCCAGCAGTGTTCACCTTTCGATCTCTTCACCAGCCCCTAATGGCCAGGGCCCTGTCCTGCTGAATAATTCATTGTCAGCCACAGTTTTGTGGCTAATTTTGTTTCCATAGGAACCCGTGTGGTCCATGGAGCCTTGGGTGAATCGATATGGGGTTTTTTGCCTTCACACATTAAGCAGTGTCCCTTAACCCCAGTGGCAGGAGATGCTGGTGGTCGGGTAGCACTTGGTGCCTGCATTGGTGTTGATTTGTGCTGCCTGTCCAGATCCTACAGGGATGCTCTGCACCACCATGGCTAATCCCAGTCCATTCCACTCCATTCCCAGGCTCTTTCCCTGTTTTTCCCTTCCCATCCTTTAATTTCTTTGACCCTTAACCTAAAATGGCAAATGAGCATTCGTGAATCAGCTGCTCCAGTTACCAGGGGCCTGCCTTTGCTTTCGCTCACTCCCTGATAGGTGCTCACTGACCAAATCCAGCCCCAAACTGCCTGGGGGTGACTCCTCCTGCCGTGGTTCCAGCCTGGGGAGAGCCGCACACCTTTATCCCTGCAGGAACCTGGGTTTGCTTCCATTCCCTGCTGCTTCCTGGAGCTTTGTGCCGAGCTGGAGCACAAAGGGAGAAGGGCTAAGCGGTTAGAGATGGGCTGGTGTGACATATGGTGTGAGGGCTTTGCATGATGGCTGCGGGGATGTGGGTGCGCAAGGCTTCAGATAAACTGAGGCAGAGGGATGATGGGCACAGGGCATTCCTATGGGATGGAGGCAGCACCGGTACCCGGACCGCGCTGCTGTCACCTCTTCACACCAGGCAGCGCTTGCTCCTCACTGTTCCAAACAAGCTCTGAGCTGCTTTTGTAGCTGGGACCTGTGTGTTTGATGTCAGCACTGAAAGCCCGAGGACGAAAGGCCGCTGATGTTCAACCACCTCGTGGAATAATCTCCTATCAGCCTCTGCTTTCGGCAGCCTCTTGCATCTAACTCCTGACACGTTGATACAAGATCGAGTGGAGCAGGGATGCAGCTAAAGCGCACAAAGGGATGCTGGGTGACTTTAATCACTCACACTTGCTTGACCTATTTTTTTCTTAATCCCTTCCTGGAAACCTTATTTCATGTTTGAATTCCCTCAACTATTTTAGGAATGTCGTCCTACCAAGATCAAATTACCTTCAATGGAACCAGCGCAAGGCAGCCTCGCAAGGCAGGCGACGTCTGGATTAAGATCTAGTGCTCCCTCATTAATCCAGGCTCCGGCTGGGGGGGGGGGCTGTAATTCCAGCATGGAAAATGGGGTGAAAGCCGGGGATTAGCGCGACACAACGCTATAGGGCAGGGGGTGGCATCGCCAGGGGGATGGATGATGGCATCGATGGCTGCGGCTGGGTGAGCAGAGGATACCCCAGGCAGCAGCAGCACCACTTCTCTTTAACATGGTTATTGTGGCTCTCACAGTGCGGGGCTGGCTACAGGCTCCCTGCTGAAGCCATCAGTGCCTGGACCAGGAGGGCTTCATGGCTCTCCCTTGTCCTCTGGTCCTAAACACTGCTCTGGGAGCCAAGAGGGGGATTCCATTCTGCAGAGGTACGTGCTGCACAGGCTCTCAAGCAGGGCTGCCTTCTGCTCTGCCCCTTGATTGCTTTTTACTTTGTAAAGGGCTTAAACGCAGCCGCTGTAATGCGTGATGGGACAGGTATTAAAGGGGATCCTCGGGTGCTTATGTTTCCATGAAAAAAGGATTTGCTCGCAAGCAGTGTTCCCAGGAGGTGAGCACACTCATCCCAGTGCGAGGCGGGCAGAAAGGGGGATGTGGGGGCACTGTAAGGCCCCATCCCGCACATCCTCAGCGTGTGCTGTGCCTTCCACTTTGCTGGTGGACACTGTTGTGATTTCTGTTCCCATTATTTACTTTCCATCACAGTTTCAATCCAATTATAGGCACACCTGCAGCCGCCCAGCATTCCCGTTCCTGGATTGAGCAATCCCTGGCTGCAGGCAGAGCTCGCCCGATCCGCTCTGTCCAAAGCTGTCCCTGGTGTTGAGTCTTCCCCCCACGGCAGACCTTGTCTCTGGATATCCCTGTGCATGGAAATTCCTCCTGTGCTTTCATAGGATCGAGTCCCTGCAGGCCTGGGCTTGCAGCCGCCAAGCCCTGGGTGAGTGCTGGGTTGTTGGGAGCAAGCATTCCATGGAGTCTCCCCCAGTCCTGGCTGTGAGCAGGGGCTCCCAGCTCCAGTGTGTTTGCAGGGATGATCTACAGACAGCGTGGCAAGAGCAGGGGACAAGGGGCCGGTTCAGCGGCGCTTGAGCGATCCCATCTGGTGCCTGGGCTGCAGCAGGCGCTGGGGAAAGGAATATTCTCGTTTGCACTTGGTGCCAAGGCTCTTCCCTGGCGATCCGGTGCTTTTCCAGCTGCTGGCTGCTCCCATCCGGCTGCGCTCCTCCCGGAGCTGAGCAACTGCTCTTCCCAGCATGACGTGACCAAGCCCTGGGATTATCCAGCTGCTCCTCTGCGCCATTCCGGATGGATGATGCCGAGCTCAGGCCGCCTGCTCCGTGCTTGCTCCCAGCTGGAGCTGACCTCAAGCCTTTCAGGCCATCCCTTGATGTGGAAAGCCCGTCTCTGTGAGGTACCGAACGCCCCGCTCACAGGGATGGGAGGAAAGCGGGATGCAGGACGCGCTCCCGCAGGCTGTGCACATCCCATCAGCTCCCTGATGAGCTTCATTAAGGGTTCCTCAGTCACTGAGGTCTTGTTCTTGGCTCTGGCTCAGGCGAGGGTGGATGGGGATTGTGCAAGTCCTTAACAGAGCAGAGCTGTGGTGCACTCATGGGCTGGCAGGGCTGAGCCTCCTCCTGAAGAGCAGCTTTCATTTGGTCCTGTTTAATGTTTCCTAAGCGGTGAGCTGAAGGCAGGAGCTGGACCCAAAGGCGAAAGCAACCCTAGATGTGTGCACAAGAGCATCTTGTGCCGTCCTGGTGGCAAAAACTACCTGGGCTTTTTCTGCTTGGATAAAAGCCTGTGTGGACACGGCAACCTTCCTGCAGGCTGGATGCTGCAGCAGCACCGTGGCTCTGTGCCTGCCCCCAGCCTGGAGCCGGGATGTCACCGCGTGGCACAGGTCAGCACCGGGACAACCGCAGCCACTTCATGTGGAGGTGGCTCATCCAGAGCTGTCACCGTGTCCCCAGGGCCAAGCAGTGCCCTCACCCTGTGAGGTCTTACCCAGGGCTCATAGGGGGCACAGGGGCAGCGCCAGCCCCATCAGTGCCCTTGCTCCCACGTCGCTGCTCCCCATGACCCTCGGGATGGGGACACATGCACTCAGAGCTTGCAAAGCCTTTAAGCTCCTCCTGGGATGGGCGCAGCAGAAGGGTGAAGGATTACGCATGTGCCCGGGTCTGGATGAATGAATAACAGCATTCAGGGTCCTCTCTGCATGACAGCAGAACAAGGACTTATTTAACTCGATTAGGAGCCAGCTAAAGGAGGCATCTCAGCCTCATCCTGCAAACGGGGGCAGGAGGTGAAGGGAAGCCCGTGCCCTGTGCTCCAGCCCGGGCTGGCAGGCACACACCAGCTTTGTGCTTTCCTTTTTGGGAAATCCAAAGGATTTTGCTTCTCCTGGCATCTTCCCAGCCCTTCACAGCAATAAGGGCCAGAAACGAGCCCAGCCCCTTCCCCATGCTGGTGCCTGGGGTCCTGTTGGCCTCCCCGCTGCTCACCTGGAGGTGCTGATGCAGACAAGCAGGAGTTGGGGAAGATCCTGCACATACAACTATTTGGTTATCTTTTAAACTAACTCCTGCTGATGGAGGGCTTGATTCACTCTGGGTTTTAGCTCATGCCAGTGTAATGGTTTGCGTTTCTCTGCATTAGCAGTTGGACTTTAACAAATGGGTTCAGAAGCCTGAATTTGGAGTGTTTCATTGCTGTCACCTCTGCCTGCAGCAGCGTTTGCCCATGGGGCAAGTGGAACCACCCTGGTCTGCACCTCGGTTTTGCCCAGCAAGCCCTTCACAGCAGCCTCTGGATCCCTCGGGGTTGTTTGAAGGCAGATGCTCAGCAGAGCTTATTTGGCACAGGAATCTGTTGTCCTCTCCCCAATTCAGTTCTTCCTCTGGCCAGAAGCTTTCCATGGGTGTGATGCTCGGTCAGGCACGGGCTGTGAGCGGTGCCGTGCTCATGGCACGCTGTGGCAGTGTCTGCATCAGGAGGAGCCGGTCCCTCTCCAGCGGGGCAGGGGGCTGCAGGGGATTGCCAGTGGCCTTCATCCTGGTTACAGGGAAGACCTTGAATATCCTTATATCTAATGGAGTTAACTATTTGACTCAACTGCTGGGAGCCAAAGACCCCCCCCAACCACTTTACTTTGTAGATCTTGGGATTTTTAAGTAGATCTGGGTTTTTTCCTGATTTTGGGGCTGATTTTCCTATCTGGGCTACCATGGCTAACGCTTCTCTGCAGGAGCTCCCACACTCGGATCATGCACGTGTTTGCAGTGTATCCTGTATAAGCTGTTTTCCCCTGGATGCCCAGGCTCTTTCCCCATCCCTTTGGAGCAGCCAGATGTTTTAAGGAGTGTGTGTACCCTGTGCATGTGTTAGAACTCGGTTGAAGACGTGACTAAAGCAGCAGCCATGCAATATTGTAGTTAAAGGATGGCACCAGAGGTGTGAACAATGCGGGCTCTTTGCTGGCAATGACTCGTGGTGGCAGAGGAGGAACACAGAGGAGAGGCTGTGTTTTATTAATGGACTCCAGCACATTTATTTGTCCTCGGTGAATGGAGCCGGGCAGGGCTGTCGGGATTGTTCCTGCTCCGAGCCTGGCTCCCAAAAGCAGGGATCCTGGGATCTGCGGGGATGGAGACAATCCCCAGGGAGCAATCTGTTCAATGCATTTGGTTCGAGAGCAGGGAGCGAGCTGGGGGCTTCTGGAGCTCTTTGGAAACATCCCCTCATGCAGAGCAATGGTTTTCCCAGTTCTTCCATGCACCCTGTGCTGTGGGATGGGTGAATGCCACAGCGAAGTGGCACTGGCATCATACGTGGCCGTGGGGCCGGGTCTGGGCTGGTGCTGCATGGGGCTGCTGTTCAGGCCCCTCACAGATGCAGGTGCATCCATGATCACAAAACTGCAGGGAAGGAGAGCGGAGCGTGCCCATGAAGCAGGAATCATCCCCCAGCCTCTGGGGATTCCTCTGGGGATGGGAATGGGAACGGGGATGAACCAGCAGCACGGAAGTGAACCTTCTCCAAGGTTTTTCCATGGTTTTCAAGTGTGTTTTGCTCTCGGCAGCCTCTGGAAGCCCCTTGGAGCAGGTTGGGATGGCTGAGGCTGGGTGAGCACTGGGGATACGGCTGTCACCTATGGCCAGGGGCAGGGGAGGGCCTGGGTGCCCTTCAGAGATGACTGCTCCCCTAATGGCTTCGAATGTGAGTATTTCACTAAGAAATGTGCTTGGCACCTTCTTCTGGATGAAATTCCATGTTGGGGACAGTTACCTTGAACTCCCTGCCTGCAGCTTAGGGAAAAGCCTTTGGAAATGATATTATGGATCAAAACTGTTCCTGTTTCAACAGTGGCGTTAATCCAGAGCTGAGTTTGGCCCCGCATTTCCAAACGAGAAGCAGTAGCTGTATAATCTGTTTATGGTTTTAAAGGGAATGTTAATCTTGGATTGGATGGCTTTTCCCAAGGGTCAGTTTGCTGCAGAGTGGTTTAGCCCCTGCTCTGAAACCCTCTTGAGCTCACTCCTTTTGTTTTAAGGAGAGATTTCAGTGCATTTCTAAATACCTGTCAGCACCTGGAAATGTTCTACCTGGGGCAGTAGTACCATGGCAGGGGCAGTAACACCATTCTTCATACCTTGCAATTCGTTTGCACAGCACCATGCACGGTGGCTGTACAGCATCCAGGTGCCAGTGTGCTGGTCCTGCCGCACGGATGGGATGGTCCTACAAGGATGTGGTTGGATGGGTCATAGAATCCCAGCCTGGTTTGGGTTGCAAGGGAGCTTAAAGCTCATCCAGCCCCAACCCCTGCCACAGGCATGGACCCCTTCCACTGGAGCAGCTTGCTCCAAGCCCCTGTGTCCAACCTGGCCTTGAGCACTGCCAGGGATGGGGCAGCCACAGCTTCTCTGTGCAATGGAACTGAATCAGAGGTCTCTATGGACACGGGGATGTGCTGCACCCCACGGGTGACCCTCTCCTCTGTCCCCCGCAGGTGGGAGGATGCTGCAGCGCGCCGGGGGCTGACGCACGGAGCCGCCGGCCTCGGGACCCCGCTGCCCGCCCCATGGTCCCCACCGGCTGCCGGGGCCGTGCCCCGTGACCCGTGCCCCCCAGCGCCCCGTGCCCGTGCCCCACCATGACGAGCCTCTTCCGCCGCAGCAGCAGCAGCAACGGCAGCGCCCGCGGCAGCGGCTCCTCCGCGCAGGAGCTCAACAACAGCCGGCCCGCCAGGCAGGTCCGGCGCCTGGAGTTCAACCAGGCCATGGAGGACTTCAAGACCATGTTCCCCAGCATGGACTACGACATCATCGAGTGCGTCCTGAGAGCCAACAACGGCGCCGTGGATGCCACCATCGACCAGCTCCTGCAGATGAACCTGGATGGCAGCGGGGGCGATGACAGCTCGGACTCGGAGGACAGCATCCCCCCCGAGGTAACCCATGCCGGTGGTCCCCAACGCGTGGCTATGGGGGGGTGTCGGGTCCTGGCTCCATCATGAGCCTTGTTTCTGCCTGGACATGGTGCTGCTCAGCTGGTACAGGCAGGCAGAGGTTTGGGTTTCCAGTTCAGCTGGTCTGGAATGTGCAGCCTGAGTGGTTTTGTCTTGGATGGTGCTTGAGGCTCAAACCAAACCACTGTCCTCCCTCCTCCACCAAAACCCAACAGAGACCCTTCTGCTGCACTCAGGTGGCAGTCAGTTGTGAACCCAGGAACAGGCTCAATAGGATCATGGAATGGTTAGGGTTGGAAAGGACCTTAAGATCATCTAGTTCCAACCCACCCTAAATGTGATGCCTTGTCCCTTGAGACCAGCGCCTCCAAACGCCACCAAAAGCCCCCTGATGCAGGGGGACCAGTGCCAGGAGGTTGCCCCATCCTCTCTGCAGTGGCTTTGCTGCCATGCATTGAGTCCAGCCCAATAGGGAGCATTCCCCCTGCTCACCCTCACCCCATCCTCTCCCTGCAGATCCTGGAGCGGACCCTGGAGCCGGACAGCTCAGACGAGGAGCCCCCTCCTGTCTACTCCCCCCCTGCCTACGAGAGCCAGGTGCACCCCCGTGCACCTCCCACCCCCCCACCCAGGTGAGCCCCCAGCCCCATGCTGTGGCTGCACTGGGTCTCCTGCACCCTGTGTTGGTGCTGGGGGGGGATGGCTTGCTGTGTGTGAGCTCCCCAGCAAGGGGGATGTGGCAGCACTCTGTTAGGGTCGGGTGGGACAAAGCCAAAGGAGATGAATGAAGCTCACAGCTGGTGAGAAGATCCCCACGAGGCCCTAAGAAGTGAACAGCTGAGGGGCCTGGAAGCTGCTCCAGCAGCGTGTGGAATGGCAAAAATCAGCCCCTGGGGTGGGGAGCCCTTGTCTCTGCTCAGAAACACCAGGTGCCGGCAGCCGGGGCCCTGCACATCGGGCTCTTGGCACTGGAGACCTTGGTGCGGTGCTGGGGCTCCACAGGGATGGGGTTTGGGCAGGAGAAGGGAATCCAGGCTGGGGAGAGATGGAGCGAGGCTGGAAGAGCAGCTCCCACAGATCCCAGCCTCGCTAGGAAAGCCGCCTGCTCTCCAGCGCTGATGCTGTTGCTGTGGGATGGGAGCTGTGCTCTGTTGGCTCCCAGCACCGCTGCTGGAGCCGGGCAGGGAGCTGCTGTGGGCCTGTGCCCTCTGCTGAGGGTTTCCCCTTGCCAAAGGCACTGTCTGTGCTGGTCCCACAGGACGGATGTGCCAGCCCCCGGCAGCACCCCAGTGTCCGGGCACTACAGGAACTGGAACCCCCCTCTCCTGGGCAACCTCCCTGAGGATTTCCTCCGCATCCTGCCCCAGCAGGCAGCTGGCACCCAGGTGAGGCTTCCTGCCCCTTCCAGCCCATGGGGTGCATGGAGCACCAAACCCGGTCCTCAGCCGCGCGGAGCTGCAGTGCCAGCGCTCTGAAACCACCTGGGTATGGATTAAACTGGAAGTCTTGGCGCGCATCTTCTTGTTCAAGGCAACACTGAAGTGAGCAGAGGGTTTGCCCTTGGGAAGTCAGAATCCCCATGTGCTTTGTGGTGGGTTTAGAGCCACAAGGCTTGGGGATGTGGGTGCTTTTCTGCCCACAGCGGGCAGCACCCAGCTCCGCTCCAGGCACATCACATCCCCACGGCGTCCCTTGGCCCCTTTGCAAGTGGGGTCAGGACCTTCCTGCCACAGCAAGGGACTTGTGGGGCTGCAGGCCTCCTGCCTACCCCATGCATCAGCCCCTCCCTCCCTTCTTGCCTCCAAAGGCAGCCTGCCACGTTTCCATAAATGATTGCCCTGCAAGTTGAGCTTCACGGGCTATATTACCTTTCTGGGAATAGGAACGTGCCGGTTCGCTTGGGCTCAGGGGGAGGAGAGCAGCAGCTGCCCTTTTCTTTCCCCAGTAATTGTGTGCTTTTGCTTTTTCTGGCTCTCTGAGAGCAGCCACAAATCAGATCAATAGTGCAGGTGAGGAGGAGGTTGCAGCTGGGGAGTGCAGCTCTGCTGCTCCCGCGGTGTGACTGCCCTGGGAGCTGGGGGAGAGCACGAGGTGCTTCCCATGGGGATGTCTGTCAGGGGGAAATTGCACTCTCTGCTTGTGAGATAGGGGGAAGTAGAAGCAGAGGTAGTGGCTGAGAGCCTTCCTGCTCACCTCCACACCAGGTTTGGTCTTGGCTTCACCCCGTGGTTGTAAGCCCTAAACCTTTGCAGGTCTGTGCTCTGCAATGGAGGCACCAGTTCTGTGCTGGTCTCAGAGCGAGAGCTCCCTGTTCCCATATGGGATGCCCGGCTCTCTCCTTCTTTGTCCCCTTTGCAGCAGCACCATCCCGAGTGCAGCGCAGCCAGGGGGATGATGCCTTGAGATGCGGGGTACAGGAGGATGCAAAAGGCCAAGCTGAGCTTGCGGCCCTGCAGGGACCCTCCTGCACCCAGCAGTGCAGGGACCGAGCCCATTGCCCAACCCGTGCCCCGTTTGCCTCTGCAGGGCTCCCCCGGCTGCCGGCAGCCCCTGCCCCGGGGGCTGGCCCCAGCGCGGGGCCAGGGCTCGCTGGAGCAGGAGCGGCGCTGGAAGCAGTACCTGGAGGACGAGCGGATCGCGCTCTTCCTGCAGAACGAGGAGTTCATGAAGGAGCTCCAGAGGAACCGGGATTTCCTGCTCGCCTTGGAGAGAGGTGGGAAGGGGTTGGTGCCCAAGCAGAGCCAGCGCAGGATGGGGCTTGGTGGTGGTGGCCTGCTCCTGGTGCGCAGCTGCCGGCCGTGAGGCTCTCCTCTGCCTGCCCACTTCTGCGGCAAAGCCTGGCAAAATCACTGAACCTGGAATGGTTTGGGTTGGAAGGGGCCTTAAAGCTCCTCCAGTCCCAGCACCTTCCACTGGAGCAGCTTGCTCCAAGCCCCTGTGTCCAACCTGGCCTTGAGCACTGCCAGGGATGGGGCAGCCACAGCTTCTCTGGGCACCCTGTGCCAGCGCCTCAGCACCCTCACAGGGAAGAGCTTCTGCCTAAGAGCTCAGCTCAGTCTCTGTCAGCTTGAAGCTATTCCCCCCTTGTATCCCTATGTGCTCTTGTAATGATCCATAGCAAGGAGCTTTGGAAATGCCCTCCAAGCCCAGCCTGGCCCTTGTGCCCTCCCCATCTGCTGCTGAGCAAAGAGCTGCCCTTGCCTTCCCTGGCACTGCTGCCAGCCTGGCCCTCCACAGCCATGGAGGAGAGGGGAGAGGGGATCCATCCGAGCTGCGTGCGCTGCCTCGGGGCTCTGACCGAGCGGGCTCTGGGCTTTCTGTTTTCCAGATCGATTGAAATATGAGTCCAAAAAGTCCAGGTCATCCAGTGCTGCTGCCAGCAACGACTTCAGCTGCTCCTCTGTGCTACCAGGTAACCTCCAAGTTGGGTTTGAGCATCACCTCTCAGCAGCGGGACACCCCACAGCTCCTGTGTTCCCAGCCCTCTGCCCTCCAAAGTGGCTGTGGGGAGGGAAACTGGCTGAGCCCTCCCTTCTGTCATCCCCCTGCATGGGAGAGGAGCTGATGGGTGATGGCTGATGCTGCCCTCCCTATGTGGAAGTGCTCCTGTACCCTGCTGCTCTCCATTCCTGCATCCTGCTTCTGTCCATTCCTGCATCCTGCTGCTCTCCATTCCTGCATCCTGCTTCTGTCTATTCCTGCATCCTACTGCTCTCTATTCCTGCATCCTGCTGCTCTCCGTTCCTGCATTTTGCTTCTGCCACCCACCCCCCACCCACCCCCTCCATTCCTGCATCCTGCTCTGTCCATCCTGCATCCTGCTGCCCCATCCTGCATCCTGCCATCTGCACCTGCCTCCATCCCCTGCTCTTCCATCTGCATCCTGCTGCTCTCCATTCCTGCATTTTGCTTCTGTCCATTCCTGCATCCTGCTTCTGTCCATTCCTGCATCCTGCTGCTCTCCATTCCTGCATCCTGCTTCTGTCCATTCCTGCATCCTGCTGCTCTCCATTCCTGCATCCTGCTTCTGTCCATTCCTGCATCCTGCTGCTCTCCATTCCTGCATCCTGCTTCTGTCCATTTCTGCATCCTGCTGCTCTCCATTCCTGTGGTGGGAGCTGGGATCCAGTTCCCAGGGGTGTCAGAGCCCTCTCTGGTCAAAGCCAGAGTGGGGGATTGTGCCTGGGAGGTGTAATGAGTGTTCCTGGCTAATCCTGGTTAACCTCAGTGAGTGGAGCAGTCATCCAGAGTCACCGTTAGAGCTGGTGTCCATCGATGGCCCTCTCCATGTGGCATTGCTCAGGGGTACCCGGACCTGTGCTCTTGGGTTACAACCCCCAAGGGTCCCCTTCCAGAGCCATCCGTGGTGTGCCAGTGCCCTCACCCTGCCTGCTCTCGCTCGGCCCCGCTCGTGGCAGGGCTGGAATTGGGTCATGGCAGTGATCCCTGCGGATGCTCCTGGCTGATGGTTGCCTTGCAGGTGACGCAGCCCCCTCTGCGCCCAGCGAGGCCGGCGGTGCCGTGTCTGACGATGCCTTATTCAGAGACAAGCTGAAACACATGGGAAAATGTGAGTGGGGTCTGGGGGCTGGCAGCGGGATCCTGCCAGGGATGGAGGGGAGGTGGGAATGGGGCAGCAGGAGAAGAGGGGTGATCACCCGAGCTCCCTGCTCTGTGCATCCCCCACTTGGGACTGCATTTTACAGCCCTAGGCTGGTGCATCCTCATCCTTGGGTGCTCCCCTCCTGGCCCTCACCAGTGGCAGGGAGCTCCCGTGCTGCACAGCAAGGCTGGGTGCGGGCACAGATGGGAGATGGAGGCGTGGGTCTTGATGCCCCAGTTCTCCCCTTTCCATCTGCCTCTGGTGTGGGTTATGGCATGAGTTGAGGATGCTGGGCGAGGTTCGTGTGGATCCTATAAGAGCAAGCCAAGGGGTTGCTTAACTCTTCCAGTACTTTCCTCTTAGCAAGTCACAGCCCCCTTCTCCCATCACAAAACAGCCTGAGGTCTTTGGGCAGCTTGTGTGAGCCTGCTGAGACACTGGGGTGTGTGGGTCAGTTGTGGGTGGGGAAGGTCATGAAAAGCCCAGTGAGAGGGTAAAAACATCATCCCCCCTCAGCCAGGGACCAATGTGTCCCTGTTGGGCATAGGACCCGGCTCTCCGAGCCTGGCAGTACCAGGGGAGACCTGGAGCATCACCATAGGGATGCAGGCTGCTCTCACACCGCTGGCCATGGCCATGTCCTGCCCATCACCCGTGGCAGCTCTGGGCAGGGTTTGGGGTGAGAGCCTCACGTGCCTGCTTCCCCCCAGCCACGCGCAAGAAGCTCTTTGAACTCGCCAGAGCCTTCTCCGAGAAGACAAAGATGAGGAAGTCCAAGAGAAAACACTTGTTGAAGCATCAGGTGTATCCTGCAGGGGAACGGGAGCTGGGGGCGGGCGTGTGGGGCTGTTGGAGTGCCCCCACCTGGCTGTTGATGGGGACTCCCTATGGCTGTGGTGCACCCGGAGCCTCTGGCTGGCTCCCATGGCAGCTGTGGTACCCTGGGCATGTCCTGGTTTTCCTTAGCAGAGGGCACAGGATGGGGACAGCGGCTTCCACGGCAAATCTTCTCGATGACGTCGAGGGACATTCATGCGGTAAGCAATGGCAGATGTGGCACGTCTGTGCTGCCCCACAGGAGATTCCCATCAGGAGCATGGCCGCCGGTGCTACGGGCTCATCCCTGGTCCCATGTGGCTCTCCTGGGGTTGAGTTACAGACCTGGCAAATCCGCCCCTGTGGGTTAAAACCTTCTCCCAGTGTTCCCAGTCATGTGCTGGCTGTCCCAGTGTCCCAGTCACTGGGAATTGTCTGGGTGAGGAAGTCCAGGTCCCTCACTGCTGGAGCTGGGACCGTAGCGTGGTGAGCGGTGTCCTGGCATGGAACCAGTTGTGGCTCCCGACAGCCCCGTCCTGATTCTTCCTTTCAGATGAAGACTTCCAAGTGCGGAGGCAGCCGCTCCGGGAGGAGGAGGAGATGCTGAAGGAAGGGCAGTAAATGGTGAGAGGCACCTGGGGATGAGCATGTGACCGGTCCCATCCATCCATCCATCCATCAGTCCTGGCTGCTCTGGGTTGGGACCAGAGAGTGTCCACACAGGGACAATGCAGCTAAGGCTGAGCATCTCCATCCCTCCCCTTCTCCTCCGCTGCAGGTCCCAGCGCTGGGGTTTAGTGCTGGCACGGAACGTGCCCAAAGCTTCACGAGAAGGTGGCTGGAAAAGGAACACAAGACACCCAACAAATCCCGCAGAGTTTTGGCTGCTCCCCCTCTGCTGCTCTTCTCCTCGGAAGTGCAAAGCGCTGAGGCTCCGTTTTCTTCCCCGGCGTTTGAAAACAACTTCTATGTAGCAAATCAGCCAAAAAGGAATCAAAATGAGGGTCAAAGCAGGTCGGGAGCTGCTGTGAGGAGCCGGCGGAGCTCGGGCTTGGGAGGAGCAGCGCGAGCGGCGGTGCAGGAGGAATGGGATCAGTTGTACTGAGGAGGATGCGTTCCGTGTGGGATCTGCTTGGCCGGAGCACTCCTGACCATATCTCTGTAGTGATCTGGTGGGACTTTACTCTGCGCACACAGGGAGAAACCAACCCAGAGCATGGGAGAGGGAGAACCTACAGCCGGTGTCTGTTCTTGCTAGGAGATGCGGACCAGGTGATAGTCAGGTGATACATAAATCGCTTCTAAAAGGAAAGGCCTTCTTTTCCTAGGTGTTTTACTTGGAATTAAACCTTTGCCTTCGGCATTGCTAAAACTGCCTTGAAGTTACAGACACTTTGTGCCGGTGGGGCAGCACCGAGGGCTGGACTTGGCACCGGTGCCACCCTCGCTGCCGAAGCCGGACACATCCCATCGGGAGCATCCTGCTGGTGGTGATCCCGGCTGCGGGGCAGGGCACCCATGGCCCCGGGGATGCCCCTGCCGTAGGTAAGGCGCAGAGCCCAAGCTGAGGCCGGTGGGGTTTGGGCACGGAGGGTTTGCAAAGGGCTTGTGAGCGCCGCTGGGTTTGGGGCTGGCCCAGTGGCGGGAGCATCCTTCCCTGTGCCCATCCCAGGCTGTGGGGCTGGCAGGCGGTGCCTGAATCACTGCAGCTTTCGGGGATGCTGTCAGGCTAAAAATAATGATGTAAACGAATTCCTTCCCTGTGTAAGTCATGAGTGAGGAGCGTGAAGGCAGGAATCGCTCCCGCCAGCACATTTCCTTCTCCTTTATGGGCAGAATCTGTTGAGTGCTGAAGGCAGGAGGGGGCTCTAGACGTGCCTGCTTCGCTTCCTGGCTCCTGCAAAGCAGCACAACTGTTGCGAGACGGGAGCTGCGAAGGTGGCAGACGCAGGCACCCGGCCCTCCACCACACATGAAACTGTTTTCCCTGCCTCTCCGCAGGGTTTGGTAACAAGAGTCCACATTGCAGGCGCCGGCTCCCAACAGGATCCTTTTAACCCCCCCCTCCCCCCCCCCAGCCCACACGCCTTTGAAGTGGGCGCCAAGATTCCATTCCCTGTGAGCTGATGCACTGGGAGCAGTGGGGATGCGGGTGCTTCACCCTCTCCCTGGTCCCTGGAGCCAAGCCCAGGGTGCGCAGGGTGAGGGCAGGATGCTCTGGGACGAAGCATCGCAGGATGCCCGCGAGCTTTGGGTTCCCTAAAAGCAAAGCAGCCCAAGTAGCACCCTGCTGAGCCCAACCCAGCGTCGGTGCCTGCTCCTTTTCCTTGGAAGGAAGCACTGAGGAGCATCCCTTGAGTCACGGCGGCCTGGCCAGCAGGTTAGAGCCGTCCCAAGCCACGCTGGCCTTGCCCTGACGTGCGCAGGCTCCAGTGCTGGAACTGCACCGTGTCTGGAGGGGCATGGCCCTGCCTGGCTCTGTCTGCAAGGGGCTGAGTGTGAAGCTGGGAACAGAAGGTTCTTGAGCCCCTGGGTGGGACTTTGTTCCCATCCTGACACTGATGGATGCAGAGGAGGGGCTCCTGCCCTCCCCTCCGCCGCCTCTGGGGTCTATAGGAGGCTGCTGTTGCTCCCTCCCGATCCCAAGCAGCTTTTCTGCATATTTGGAAGAAAATCAAGCTTGGAACCAGCTCCATTTGTCCGTGTTCCAGCGCCTCTCAGCTACCGAGGGCTTTACTCCCAGCGCGGTTTCTATCAAGGCAGGAAGCACCAACAGGCTCTGCTGGGAAGGGAATCCCGCTTTTCCCAGACCAGGAGGTTGTTGTGCGGGGAGGAAAGCGCCCGTATCCCGGTGATTCCAGCATCCCGGGGTGATTCCAGCGCTGCCGAGCCCATGGGGTTTGCTGTGCTCCCCATCCTGGGTGCAGGACGGGTGCTGTGGCTGCGGGGGATCGCGGTGAGCTCTGGCGCTGGGCAGAGCCATGTTTCACATCACGTCACATCACAGGTCAGTGGTGCTGGGCCCGAACCCTGGCTGTAACCACAGCGAGTGCCTGGTGCTGAACCCTCTCCTGGGTCCGGGGTCAGGGGATGTGTTGTAGCTTTGGAACCCTGCTGCAGTTTGGTGACGGAGAGGAGCCCTGAGGCTGCCTCTGGGGCTGAGCACGTCCCCAGTGTGCATCCTCTGCTCCCTGCGATGGTACCCAGGACCTGGAGCCTAGGGAGAGGAAGGGCAGTTTGAGGAGCTGGAGCGTGGGGATGGGATGGGGTGGGTGCAGACCCCGTGGTTGAGCTCCATCTACCCTGCCAGCAAAGGTTTTGTGTCCGTAGATCCATAGGTTGGGGTTGGAAGGGACCTTAAAGCTCATCCTAATTCCCTGCCATGGGCAGAGACGCCTTCCATTGGAGCAGGTTGCTCCAAACCTCATCCAACCCAGCCTTGCATTGAGTGCGCCCTGTGCCAGCACCAACCCCTGCACCTCACAGGGGCTCGGGGATGTCTTTGCTAACACGCTCTAACAACTCACCCACCCTCCGGTCCCCAAGGCAAAGCCTCTCTGAATGATGTCACTCCATTTGTAGCCATTGCAACGCATCGGAGAGGCACAAAGCATCACTGGGATGGGGGGTGAAGAGGGATTGGGTTTGTGTCCTTTACGCAGGAAATAATCAGGTCTAACGGGTAGAAAGGCCACTAAAACCGGCTCGGAAGCCAGAATGTGTTTCTGACATAAAGGTGGTCAATCCTCGGTGATGTTTGTATTACTTCTATACAAAAAGGGTTAAACAAAGCAGAGAACTGGGTGGTGTTTGTGAGGGTCGCTGGTTTAGAGTTTGTTTCCAGATGTGATTTTTTCTTACAGATGTTTCATAGTAATTCATACAAATAAAGCCCCGTTGTACTCTGAAACATGTGCATGTGTTTTGCTTTTCTGCTCCTGTTTCTTTACAGGGGGAAAAGAAGGAAGTTGGGATGGGAGGGAGATGCCAGCTCTAGCCCAGCTCTAGCTCTGCCCCTCATGGCTGCAGGTGCCCTGGCTCGTGTCCTCCTGCTCCTGGCAGTGCTGAGCTCACATCCAGTGATTATCTGGAGGAAGCAAGTGCTGTGGGACACCCATCACTGGTGAGCTCCTCTCTCCATCCAGGAGCAGTTCCGGCTTCCACCTGATTCAGGAGCAGGTCCTGTAATGGGAGAGAGCAAGAAGAGCACTGGGAGCTCATGGAGAGCCCAGGATTCAGGCAAAGCCCTGGTACACCAGAGGATGCTCTGTGCATCCCTTTCCTTCCTGTATCACCTCCACTGTCCCCATGCTGGAGTTTCAGCCAGGGTCTGAAGCTGCGATCAGAGGCTAGCCTGGATGCTGCCGTCCTGCCAGGGCTTTTCCAAAGGAGGACCGAGGCTTTTGAGCATCCCGGATGCAGCCCTGGAGCGGTCCCAGCAGTGCCTTTTGAATGATGCTCTATGGGGAAAGGCTCTTTCAAACCCATGTATTAAGCCCAGGGCTGAAGCGCCGAGGTGGGATGAGGGTGAAGGCTGGGGGTGTTCGCGCTGGCACCGAGGAGCTGCGGTGGAAATGTACTGCCCCCTTCCTTTCCTTCCCTTCCCGAGGCCGGGAGATGGGAGCAGGGCTGCGCTGTTTTCCCTGCTCGGCTCATTCCTAAGGAAAGGGCTGCACCTAGTGACCAAGCACCGCTCGCTGCCGCGCATCCTCCCGTCGGGATGGGGGAAAGCGGCTCACAGGGAGCAGGGAGCCGGGATGGAGCTGCTTATGGACCAAGGTGGAGAACACAGGATGGGCTCTGTGCTGGCCACCTCCTGCGCCATGGTCAGGGCAGGATCAGGCCATGAACTCCTCAGATAGGGCTTGTACAAACCACGGTGGCAAATCCCATAGGGATGAGACCCAGCACCAAAAGGTTGGAAATAGATGATGTTCAGGTCCTTTCCAACTTAAACCATTTCATGATTCCGTGATCCTGCTGCTGGTGATGGTTTGTAGCCTAATGTCACCACTGGTACCCGAGCTGCAACGGGGACATAATGGTGCTTATAGGACAGCAGATGCAAAGTGGAGAGGATGAGCTCCAGCTTTCGGGAACACCGTTCCTGCCTATGGAGAGAAACCACATCCCCGAGCCAGCAGCATCCCGTGTGTCCCCGGCCAGCGTGGGTGCCACCGGCTCCCCGTTCGCTTGGCACCGCGTCCTGGCCCTGGGTCACTGCAGCGGCTGGGACAGCCCCAATAGCTCCTCCAGAGACCATAGGAGCCACAGGGCTCCCAAAGCCCTATGGAAGGGGCTGCCATCCCCGTACCCCTCAGCCCCCCGGATCCACGTGCTCCCGTTAACGCAGGGAGCGGCGGCGCTGGCCCTTTAAATAGAGGGGAGGGGGCACAATCGGGCTGAGCCTGCGCTCGGCCATCGGCTGCCGCTGCCTGAGCGCCCCCTTCCACCGCCGCCCTTCGCCTATTGGCTGCGTGCCCTGGCGGCTGCGGACGGCGCGTTTTCACTTCCGGGTGTGAGGCCGGGCCGTTGCTAGGGCGGCCGCGTTGCTAAGGGAGGCCTGGCCGCCATGGCGGGGAACCGCCTGCACAAGACCGGGAGCGTGTTCAGCCGGTGCGGGGGTTTGGGGTGCCCCGGGAGGGGGGTACAAGGGCTGGGTGTGTGCGGGCGGCCCCTGAGCTCCTGTGCTCCGCAGGACGCGGAACCTGCTCCGCATCGGCGTGGTGAAGAAGCCGCTGTGGTTCGATGTGTACTGCGCCTTCCCCCCGCGGAGGGAGCCGCTCTACAAGGTGCCGCGGCCGCGCTACGGCAAGGTGAAGGATGTCATCCGGCCCGTCCTGTACCCCGAGGATGAAGTGCGAGCGTGAGTCACCCGCTTCCCTCCCGCCGCCGAGGGCTGCCGGAGCCCCGCCGGCCCGCGGAGGCCTCGCTCTGCCCCATGGCCGGTGCGAGCAGCCCCGCAGCAGCGTGGTCAGTGCTTGCTTCTATGGCAGGAAAACGGCTTCGTGCCTTTGTGCCGTGTGTTTGTGGTACCCAAAGGCACAGCGTGCCCGGAGGAGCTGTGGCTGCCCCATCCCTGGCAGTGCTCAAGGCCAGGTTGGACACAGGGGCTTGGAGCAAGCTGCTCCAGTGGAAGGGGTCCCTGCCCGTGGCAGGGGTTGGAGCCATTGGAGCCAGCCCAACCCATTGTAGGGTTATTAAAGCATTTAAGAAAGGTTGGACAAGCATCTCTGCATAATATAATAGCTAATGGGAAAAGGAGAATTAGTTTCATGAATGCTCCTCCTTACAGCCTTGCAGAATTAGCGATGTTCTTTACTCCAAAGCATCGCTTTTAAATGAGTTGCAAAACAAAACTGTTCTTTTTTCTCT